TGATGATAATGATCATAATAATTCTTGTTGTTATTATTGTTATAGTTTTTTTTAATATAATCATTATCATTGTTCCCGTTATCATTATTGTTATTATCATTATTTTTTATCATCATTATTATCATTATTTTCATCATCATTACTATGATTATAATCATCATCATTATGATTATAATCATCATTATCATTTTTCTTGGCATTATTACTGTTATCATCTTATTGCTATTATCATTATTATCATCATGATATACTTCTACTACTACTAATGATAATAGCAATAAGTGATAATTATTATTACTATTATCATAATGATAATAGTAATATTTTTTTATGATTATGATGATAACTGTTGTTATATTAATGATAATTACAATAGTAGCAATTATTATTATTATTTTCATTAGCATCATTATTATTATCATTATCATATTGTTATCATTATTACTGTTATCCCTTATTATTATTATTATCAATATCAATATCATTTTCATTAACATTAAGGAAAATTGTTATTCATTTTCATATTATTATTATCATTAGTATTTCCGTTACTACTGCCACTATCGTTATTAATGCTTTTACCAATAATGTTATCATTGTTATTGTAATTGCTTACATTTTTATCAGTATAATCATGAATAATCGTCATTAAAGTAACTGTCATCATTATCATTATTATTATGATTATTATCATTATTATCAGTATGATCATTATTATCATCATCATTCTTATTATTATTGCTACTACTTCTACTAGTAGTACTATTACCCTCAATTTATATTGTTTTCCACTTACTTGCCTCGTGTATGCGTAAGTTATAATATATTCCTTTTTATTTTATTTTTTATTTAATCATTTTTTTTATCTACTTATTTTTTTTAGTCTGAACTATAGTCCTTTCTCTTCTTTATTTCCCTTCTAATCCCACCATTATCATTAATAAGAATATCCAGACTTGTAACTTTGCTTACTCAATTTCTCACAACAGCCGATACGGTGACAGCACGACTACTGCAGCCAAAGCAAACCCGACCTTGAACAATTATAGCCAAGACTACACCGGGGACTACACTCAAGGCTACACTGGAGGATACACTCAAGACTATTCTGGAGGAGGATACACTCAAGACTACGCCGGGGGCTATTCTCAAGACTACACCGGAGGCTACACTCAAGACTACACCGGAGGCTACACGCAAGACTACACCGGAGGCTACGCGCAAGACTACACGGCTGATAATTATTACGCAGATCCCAGTAGCGGAACAGAGTACAATAATAACTACAGCACGTACGATACGTACAATCGCCAGAACCCCTCGTTCCAGTACAACGCGTATGTGATAGTATTGAGTATGCACGCACACACACGCACACACACACACACACACACACACACACACACACACACACACACACACACACACACACACACACACACACACACACACACACAACCACACACACACATATATATATATATATATATATATATATATATATATATATATATATATATGTAGGTATGTATGTATATTGGTAGGTATGCATATGTATGTCTGTATGCATGTATATATTAGAAAAATAAATAATAAATATATATATTATATATATATATATATATAATATATATATATATATATATATATATATATATATATATATATATATATATATATGTGTGTGTGTGTGTGTTGTGTGTGTGTGTGTGTGTGTGTGTGTGTGTGTGTGTGTGTGTGTGTGTGTGTGTGTGCATATATAATATATATATATATATATATATATATATATATATATATACATATATAATATATATATTATATATATATATATATATATATATATATATATATATATATATATATTAATATATATGTATATATGAGTATATATGTGTATATATAGTGTGTATGTTTATTTCATAGCAATGTAGGCCAATGCTGTCTGAATCCTGTCATACAGTTTAATTGTTTTTCAATTGCTAGGATAGTTTATCACAACTGCTAAACATACCATGCATTTGCTTTCCTAAAGGCAGACGGTTTAAAAAACACTTGCCCTTAAACTACAATATATTCCTGTTTTTTAAGTCAAAGTTACATTTATAGTCAGGAATTTTATCTTCAAGAAAGAAGCGGGTAGATTGCACTTACGCAAGTTAACTGTACAGTGTAGGACACGAGTTTCAAGATGAAATCTAAATCTATCAGTAACACTGCTCTGATATCAGTGCATTTCTATATAATAGAACACAGGAATGTTTTAGATTTTAAACCACATAGGTTTGTAAAAAAAAAAAAAAGAGTTTAATTGTGTTTATTCTGGAATTATTTCGCTTCTTCGCTATTTTGTGGACCTTTTGTGATGTCACTCAGCTCCATTTTTTGTCGTATCTATGAGAATCAGGAACTGATAAAAACTCTTATCCTTTATTGGATTATTAACATAAAAACGATAAATGATTTACCCTTTTAAAGAATGGTCAATTTCCCTCAGTTTACCCTTTTACGTTGTAGGGTAAACTCTGCGTGATTTACCTTTAAAAAAGGTTATCTATTTGGGACACTAGGTTTACCCTTTCTTATCCTGAACTTACCCATTCTAACAGTGTGAGAATCAAGAAAAACCCTTATCCATTCTTTATTAGATCATTAACATATCTTCATACATAGCACATGCTTGACTTAATAACAAGATTCACTACTAATAGAAGGCTACAATGAAATATATTTTGTGGAAGTTTGAAAGAAAAGGAGAAACTTTAAACAGGTTAGCGGAGATCAGTAAACAGCACCCCCCCCCCCAAATGGGATTTCGAATACGAATCACTACCATATATGAGAATATTAAATGGCCAATCGTTCGTCCATTTCGATATATTTTAAATTTCCACATTTGGAATGTGTTTTATTATCGTAAATGATGGACCTCAGCACCCTTCTGTATGATTAGTCTAGAATGCAATGTTCTTTAATTATTACAAGATCGTTAACCATTAGCCAGAACTGGAATATTCATTCATGATCATAGGTATCTGGAAATACGTATGGTCAATGGTAATGTAATATGTATCATCTACATGTATATATAATGCAAATGAAACTACCGTTTTCCAGAAAGATATATAATGTTCATTAATAGTTGCACATACGCCGTATGCGATGGATAACATATATTTCGTCCTGAATTCTCTGAGCAAAATATGTTAATTGTGCATATGAGGGGGTAATGGTTACGTTCCGCCCCAAACCTTAGAGAGAATGATGTTATTTCTTCAATAATTTTACGTCCATGTATTTATACATGTGTAAGCAAAGCTACCGGTTTTACACACTGCCGGGAATATACATTCATTCATAAACATATATATGTGAATAATTTACATTTATTAGTGGCTATTAATATGGGCATATAAATACCAACATTGCAGAGAGAAACGCTGTAATACTGATACATGCGTCCACTTAATACCACTATTTCATCACGCAATGCCAACTTCGCAAAGAACAGTCAGTCAGTCAGTCAGTCAGTCAGTCAGTCAGTCAGTCAGTCAGTCAGTCAGTCAGTCAGTCAGTCAGTCAGTCAGTCAGTCAGTCAGTCAGTCAGTCAGTCAGTCAGTCAGTCAGTCAGTCAGTCATTGTTATACTGCTGACTTCCCATGCACCAACTCCGACCCCCTCTTTGCAGGGAGACCGGAGGGCAGAACATCTACGGGAACTACGACGGACAAACCAACAACAGCACCTACTTGGACAACTACCCGGAGTACGACTTCGCAACGGACGGCAACTCCTACAACTCGTACGCCAGGCAGACCGACTCCCTTCGCCAGGAGGGGGACGACTTCGCTGGCGAGACCGAGACCAAAGGGTCTTACCCGACCTACGACAACTACGGCGCGTCTCGTCCGAAGGCAAGTTGTGGGGGAACCATTTGCGTGGTTTGTGTGCGTGCGTACTGTGTGTGTTTGTGCTTGGATGACTGTGCGTTTGTTTGTACGAATGTGCGTGTTTTTGTATGTCTGAATGCTTGTTTGAATGCGAGTGTTTATTTGTTTGATTGAGTGTGTCTGTGTTTGTTAGATTATGCGTGAGTTGGTGTTTGTTTGTTTGATTGTGCGTGTATTTGTTGTGTTTGCTTGACTGTGTATTTGTGTTTGGATGATTGTGCGCGTGTGTGCGTGCGTGCGTGTGTGTGTGTGTGTGTGTGTGTTGTGTGTGTGTGTGTGTGTGTGTGTGTGTGTGTGTGTGTGTGTGTGTGTGTGTGTGTGCGTGTGCGTGCGTGTGCGTACATATATACATGTATGTAAGTTTGTATGTATGTATTTAAGTATGTATGTATATGTACTGAATGCACATGTATACGAATATGACAAAGTAGCTATAATAGTAAAAATAGAAAAAAATTCTTTGCGTGTTTAGAAGCCTTATTGTCTAAAGTCTAAACTGACATGTCGATGTTTTACCCTTATGCGCAGACACATGATAAGAATATTATTTCACATAGTTCATGTATCATACTTGTTTTTGATTTTCGAATAGACAGAAAAAAGAAACGTAAACTAATTCGTAAATCAAGTATACAAAATATGATATATTTCGATAGATTTATTTAAAAACTTTTCTGCTAAACTGCAATGCTACTTTATGGAAATAGTAAAATTCTAGTTCAGTTTTATGAACGTCTGCTAAGCTTTTTGTGATATATTTTGGAGATGAATAAAATTATATATAAAAACGTTTTAGTTAAAAGGCATATGAAGTAAGTTCCATGGAGTGTTTCTCATAGTCAATACGTTTTTTTTTTTTTTTTTTTTTTTTTTTTTTTTACACACAAGCACAAAAAATCCTTAAACGACCCACCTTGAATATAATTTTTATAGCCTTTCGTTCTGCGTCTTCTTAAAAAGGTCAACTCTGCCATAACAAGAGGAAAATTTAATAAAACAGATTGCCAAAAGGTCATCGGGTGGCGCCATTTTCCACCTCTTAATACATTT